GAACAAGTTTTCTGAAGTCGTCATGGAAGAAGTCGACACTCTGTTTCCTCAACCCATTGTGCACAGATCTTCTGGTAGCCAAGCAAAGCAATAATATGACCCACACATTCTTGTGAAATGCAAATTATGCTTGAAATTTCTCTCTGAGTGATATGATGATCGTCCTGAATCAATCTGTTGACCTTTTGCTTGTGAAACTCGGTGGTTGCTGTCACAAGACATCCAAATCTTTGTCATGCAAGTCTGATGTTCCCACCTCAACATCTTTAAACTTAGTCGCCTAATGACGCACAGTACTCACATCAACACAATCACCATAAACAGCTTGCATTCTCTGATGAATCTCCTTCAGGGTGACACCTTCTGCTGTCAAGAATTCAATGACTACACGTTGCTTAAGTCGCATTGACTGACTGTCTGCGCAGGGCTCCATACTTCGCACTTTAACAACACAACCGTTTAATGCTAAGGCTTCCTGCCAAAATGGAACTGTAGAGGAGAGTCTACTGAACAAGCCAGTACCTGCTGCATACCAGTACTGCCATCTGTTGGGTAGTTATGAAGGTGGAGGCATTACTTTTCATTCAAACCTCTATAAGATCACAAAGCAGGTTGGGAATCAGGTACTAGTTCAAATATCAGTTGGGTTCTGGCCCTACATCCAATAGAAACTACACCAGAAAATAAGCTTTCAGTATTCCATAGCCGTCTCTTGGTGTGAATCCTGTTATTCTGAAGATTTCAGTCTCTTCCCCTTTTCTTGCTTTTGCTTGCTGCTCTTTTATGTCTGGGTATAATTGGTAACAACTGGGAAATCAGTGGAAAAAACCTGAGTGATAACAGAGGTATATTAAAAAGAAACAACCATAGACCACACTTTAAAATGAGGAAAGGAAAGAGGTTGCATTTATCTCTGTGTCTCCTTCCTCCCCCAAGGCTTTGAAAATATAAGAGGAAAAGCTGTCTGTGAATTTATTTGGGCATTGCTGATTCAGAAGGACAACATGAAGCTGTCCCCTTCAGGAGGATGAGTCACATGGGGGGAGGGGGGGGGAGACTGGGATGTGACAGCTTCACACAGTAACAGAAATAAGATTGCCATCAGATGAAATCCCTGCTGCCATGCAGAAGTAGCCCTGCCACCTTGCCAGCCTCAGAAAAACATTTAGCTTTTAGCTGAAGACGTGCAGCTCAGGGATCAAAGGAAGGTTAGTGCAGAGGAAGCAGGTAAGGCACTGCATGAGGAGCAGGAACTGTGAATTGCACAGAAGTGGCACCTATAAAAGCAAAAAAAGACAGGTGACATTCAGCATTGAGAACTGCCCATTTAATGTCCCTTGAGACAAATAATCCCAGTTATGCACACGTGTTTGCCAAGATTTCTGAATTGGCATTAACTCCTTTGGAAAGATATCCAGGGACCTACCAGAATGCTCACTGAGCCTGCCAACGTGATGTTCAGCAGCCCTGAAAAAGGCAAATGCACCTATTTGGAATTATTAGGGAGGGACTGGATATAAAAAAGCAAGCACCATAATCCCATTATGTAAATCTACAGTGCTTCCATATTATTAAGAGCATTCTCTGTAATTTTTGTTGTCCTTTTCCAGTAATGCGTGGCGGCAGTGAAGAGTCATTTTCCATATGGAAAAAAGGCTGAAGAAGCTGCGATGTGCTCATTAGAGGGCGATTAAAATGATCAAGGGTCTGGAGAACAAGCCCTATGAGGAGCAGCTTAAAGAGCTGGGCATGTTTAGCCTGCAGAAGAGAAGGTTGAGAGGAGACATGATAGCCATGTATAAAATATGTGAGAGGAAGCCACAGGGAGGAGGGAGCAAGCTTGTTCTCTGTTGCCTTGGAGACTAGGACGCGGAACAATGGCTTCAAACTACAGGAAAGGAGATTCCATCTGAACATTAGGAGGAACTTCCTGACTGTGAGAGCTGTTCAGCACTGGAACTCTCTGCCCCGGAGTGTGGGGAAGCTCCTTCTTTGGAAGCTTTTAAACAGAAGCTGGATGGCCATCTGTCAGGGGTGCTTTGAATGTAATTTTCCTGCTTCTTGGCAGGGGGTTGGACTGGATGGCCCATGAGGTCTCTTCCAACTCTATGATTCTATGTTAAACAAGGGTGGACAAAGTGCAGGTCATAGGTATAGCTCCCAAGTCCTTTCTCCATTTTCTTTTTGCAGATTTGCCACATCACTGTCATGTTCCTGAATTGGAGGAGCTAACAAGCAGATCATAGGTTCTGAGTATAGCCCCCAAGTCCTTTCTCCTTTTTCTTTTTGCAGATTTGCAACATCGCTGTCATGTTGCTGAATTAGAGGAGCCAGCAAGGCTACATTGTGGTTTGAAAGCAAGGTGACTGGCGAGTACACGCTGTTTAAACATGACACATTTTAAAGAAGAATTGGATATTGTGGCCTCCACTGAACATTTGATATCCTGACAGCTCTGGTTCTCCTCATTCTCGCTCAGTTAAAACATTATGGCTTAAGATTTCTGGGAGACTTCAACTCCCAGGAATCCTAACACCTGGTAAACTGGCTGGGATTTCTGGGAGTTGTAGGCCAAAACACCTGGGGACCCAGAGGTTGAGAACCACAGGTTTTGATGGATTGTACAGCTTGTTATCCTGCATTTGGGTGTGTGTTCTTCCTTGCCTCAATGTTGGGAGAGTGGTGTTTGCATTGCATTGGATCCATTTTCGGAAGGATATTGAGCCCACACCTTCACTTTTAAGGTCTCTCTTTAGTGGTCTGGGGCTGAAGATCCATAGCCCCCCCGGCTTGAGGGGCTTCGGCCCCCCTGAAATTCTCAGGGTGGTCCGCGAGAAGGCCTTACTGGTGCATTATTTAAACTGTTATGTTTATTCATATCATGATCTGATCACCATGCTCAATATATCCCATATGCATGGTTCTATTGGGATAATGATACAAAAGGTTTGCTAGGGTAGATCCTCAGCCCCCCCCCTTTGAATCAAACTCACATCAAACTCAGCCCCCGCCCCCGAATCAAACTCAGCACCCCCGAATCAAAATCCTGGCTACGGGCCTGTACAGGGCCTTTTGGTCATGTTTCATTCTCATGTGGAAGAGGGATCTTCACAATGGCTTGTGGCCACCTCCCTTTGCTTTGTGGTTTCTCTTAGCAGATGGGCTGAGACCTGAGGGGCTCTCTCATGTGGCTGGCAGCTGGTTGCAAGCTTAGCATTGACTTATTCTGTACTATGGCTCTAGTGGTGCTTATCTAAAAAGTTGTGGCCATTTCAATTTTAGTAGTGTGCCCTCGTCTCTCTTAACTTCTCTATTCCCAAATAAACAATAACACTAAAAGGCTTGTATTAAAGAAGGAGAGAGGAGGGCTGCACAATCTTCTACCAGTGTCTCCGACTAACATGGTTATCTCTGCAGTAGCCTAGTAAATGTACTAGTAAATGTCTGGCATCATTAAAATATTACAGGCTGACTTAAAATTTAGGGGCAGCTTTAGCACAGCAGGTTAATCACCAGCTGCAGCTGCAGTAAATCTTGCCAACCAAAAGACTGACAGTTTGAAGCTGGGTCAGGGTGAGCACCTGACCTTCAGCCCAGCTCTCTGCCCACCCAGCGGATCGAAAACAGCAATGTGAGTAGATAAACAGAAACTGCATCAAAGCAGGGAGGTATTTTAGGAACTGCATTTCAGTCAGAAAAAGGAGGAAAGTTTACAATCAAAGAAAGCTCTTAGGCAAAGAGATGGAGTGACAGCACCCCCTGCGGCCAGAACCAAGCACAGCCTCCAAAGATGCCAAAATATGGGGAGAGCCTATATAAATACTTCTATCTGTTGTCTGTCTTGACATTGTATGTTTGCTGTATATGCGTTCTGTGATCTGCCTTGAAACAGTTTCTAACATTTATATTGTGTATGCTCTTGTGCCTTCAAGTTGCCTGTCACCAATGTCATGAAGTCCATAGAGTTTCCTAAGTCAAGGAATGTGCACAGGTGGATTTGCCACTTCCTATCTTTCAAATAAAGCTCACAGTACCTGGTACTTCTTGGTGGTCTCACATCCTAACCAGGGCTGAACCTGCTTAATTTCCAAGTCTGATGGGATCTGGTGCCTTTAGGGTATTTATCACATTTAAAGGAGAACATGCTAGCAATATTCCATTTACTTTCTCTAAAAGTAACAATTTTGCATCTACTTACTTACTTAGATGACCTCTCATTGTCCGAGTATGATAGCCTTCCAAGTGTAGTGTCTTGGCAGTGGATACGTAGGTGACTATGGAGTCCTATCCTTAACCCTCATGTTCTTCCACAGTGAGAACATTGGTTTCCAAGTGGAAGGTCTTGGTCAGGGTTGTCTTGATGCACCTTCCTCTTGGCACATTTCTCCTTTTCACTCTCCATTCGTGCCTTTTCAAATTCCACAGCATTGCTGGTCACAGCTGACCTCCACTTAGAGCGCTTGAGGGCCAGGGCTTCCCAGTTCTCGTTGTCTATGCCACAGTTTTAAGGTTAGCTTTAAGCCCATCTTTAAATCTCTTTTCCTGTCCACCAACATTTCATTTCCTGTTCTTGAGTTAAGAGTGGATCAACTGCTTTGGGAGACGGTGATCGGGCATTTGGACAATGTGGCCAGTCCAGTGAAGTTGATGGTGAAGGACCATCGCTTCAATGCTGGTGGTCTTTGTGTCTTCCAGCATGCTGACATTTGTCCGCTTGTCTTCCCAAGAGATTTGCAGGGTTTTTTTGGAGGCAATGCTGATGGAATCATTCCAGGAATAACGTGTGATGTCTGTAGACAGTCCACGTTTTGCTGGCATATAGCAGGGTTGGGAGGACAATAGCTTTATAAACAAGTATCTTGGTATCTCTATGGATGTCCTGGTCCTCAAACACTCTCTGCTTCATTCAGAAAAATGCTGCACTCGCAGAGCTGCATCTATCTTCCAGAGATTTGACACATGCCAAACACAAACATTAAAAGAATTCAAAAGCAATTGGGCACTTTAAAATATTTTATTCAAATATAATATGGTTATATTAAAAATAAATGGATGACTTTCAGTTAAGCAAATTAAACATAAGGCATAAATCAGATTTTCTCTTATTTTAAATACATATTTATCCATCCATCTCAAACTTCCTTCACTAACTAGAAGTTTGAATATTTCTCAGCATCCACATGGAAATCTCATGCACATTTTTGTGACTTTCTGCTAATTCAAATATTTTTGTCTACAATTTTTCATCCAATATTTTCCCCAAGTGATGTCTCCTAATATCACACAGTTTTTGCCTGTTATCCTCACTAGTGTACATACATTTCTGTACATGGTCGATATTGCAAAATTTGAAAACTGAAAATGGATACAATTAGGATTCAGTTTGTGTGTTAGCTTAAAAATGACGGATTAGGTAAATTTATGTTAAAAATACCCTAAGCTAATTGCTCCACTCCTCCTGAACCAGCTTTGAATGTATTAATATATTTACATCTGACGGTCTGCATATTACAGCGACCTGAGTCCATTTCCTGACTCTGACATGATGCAATTTCCAAACAGAAGCAGAGGGAAAGTGTTCAAAATGAAGACTTAAAATGTGCAATGGCTGTCAGCACTTTGAGGTTTTGAATGACACTTATTGTGGGCAATCAGCAGAAAGACGTGGAATCTTCTTTCGGTATTAATAATCACACCAGAGAATATTTGCAGCAGTATCTGAGCAAGGTTATTTGTGTTCGCTCTCATATTCAACAAGTCTGCCATGACCTTGGAGCTTTAGTGGTACTGCATGTTAAGTAATGGAAGAAAACTTTTAAAAAAGAGAATAAAGCAAACTAATGAAATGCGTTGGCATAGATCTGATGTTGATGGCAGATTGAGCCTCTTGTCTCAGGTGTGGTAGTAATCATTTGTCAGCTCCCTGTAAGACGAAAGAACAAGTTATACTCCTTAACACGTAGGATGTAGCACAGATGTAGCGGGGACTGGATGACTATGTCAGGAATCCTTTGAATGTGATACTAAATGGCAAGGGATTGGACTGCCTTCAGTCAATGAGATCTGAGCTAGTTTGTTGACTTGGTGCACTGTCATTCATAGGATCACCATAAACCTTTTTTATTTATAGTACTAGCTTGGGAACCCAGCAATGTCCAGGTTATTTGAAAAAGACATTGTTTGTTTTTTGATGTTAGGTAATATCACTTAGGTAATCTGTAACGCTATTTATTAGAAAAATGCCAGTCTTTGCTTTCGTTTTGTTTGAATGCTCCCATTACAAAATACAGAAGGATGAGGATGAACTACAATTCCCAAAACAGTGGGTCAATCCTCCCAAACCAGGCCTGTATGCACAGTTGGCCATGCTGGGTCTGTGTGCTGAGTTTGGTCCAGGTCTGATGTTAGATGCGTTCAGTGCTCTTTGGATGCAGGTGAACTACAATTCAATTCCCACAAATCCCAGCAGTATGTTTGGTTGGTAATGGGGCTTCTCTCTGCCAAGTTTGGGGGTCACAGTTTCTCTGGAAGCAGGTGAACTCCAACTCCCAGTTTCCTAGGACAATCATCCCCAAACTCTGCCTGTATTCACAGTTGGGCATGTTGGGCCTGTGTGCCGAGTTTGGCCAATATCTGTTATTCAGGGGGTTGAATGCTCAGGATGCAGGGTGAACTACAACTCCCATGCAGATGAGTCATTCCCCCCCCACACCTCTCCAGTATGTTGAGATGGTCATTGGGGTTGTGTGTGCCATATTTTGTCCAGAGATGTCATTGGTGGGGTTCAACGTGCTCTGGGTGCAGGGTGAATTACAACTCCCACATGGGTAGGTCGGTCACCCCACAAACACCTCCAGTATGTTTAGCTGGTCACCAGGGTTCTGTGTTTGAAGTGTGGCCCAGAGTCATCACTGGTGTGGTTCAGAGTGCTCTGGATGCAGGGTGAACTATAACTCCCATGCGGGTGGGCCAGTTCTCCAAATCCCTCCAGAGTCCAGTATGTTATGTTGGTCATGGGGGTTTTGTGCCCCAGTTTGGTCTAGGCCTGTCATTCTTGGGGGTTGTAGTGGTCTGTGGAAGTGGGTGAAGGTACTGCAAATCTCATCGTCTCTGGTCCATCCTCCCCCAACCCTCACCAGGACAGAAAGTGCGTCATAGGGAACCTGAGTGCCAAATTTCCTCCATCATTCATTCGGGTTGCTGTGGTTTCTGGAAGTGAGTGAAGATACTGCAATTCCCGTTGTCTCTGGTCCACTGTCTTCCAAAAGTCACCAGGATGTAAAGTATGTCATGGACAGTCTATATGGCAAGTTTGGTTCAGTTCCATCATTTGTGGGGGTTGCAGTGGTCTCAGGAATTGAATGAAGGTACTGCAAATCCAATCATCCATGGTCCATCCTCTCCCAAACTGCACCAGGATGTAAAGTGAGTCATGGGGGGGGGGGGGTCACTTTTATTATGTGTATAGATTTCTGTAGATCTGCAATCTTTGTTTAACTAATCAGACACCAACTAGGGCTCTTTTGTAATCCTAATTCAAAAGTAAAAGTTTAGTTTAACCTATATGGTGGTGGCTAAAATTGTGTTGCATCTAAACCCCTTTTAGCTAAATATTTTAGAAACTACTCAGAGCTATCCTTGGCATGATCCCACTTTGAGCTGACACTGAACTTATTTGCAGCAATTGAAAAAGAGGGAAAGTGGAGGGGAGTAAAGTGAAACAGAGACATTTTACAAACAGCTGTAAAAGTTAGGTGATAGAGGATTACTGGGGATTGCCGGTGCCAAATCAGAAGAACAGAAGGGTAAGCTGCTAACCCCCCACACCCACCTATGGCAAGCATGGGGAAACTTGATTGCAAAGAGTCCTGGTTGTCCTCCATTTCTCTAACCGCTTTACCTTTCACATTGACACGTCTTCTTTTCCAGCAAGTGCTGCTTAGCCTGGGCCATCCTCCTTGCTCGTTGCTGCCAAAAGTGAAAGCAGAGTTGCTTCCATGTTAATTCCATTTTTTGTATATTTCTCAATGTGTGTAAATGAGTCCAGTTCTTCCTCCCCTTTCCACTTTTGGTCACACACACAGAGACTCACCCTTTTCTGCCGGATAGGTTTAAGAGCGAACCTACACAGGCCTGCAACGATCAGCAGCAACAGCAGCACACCAACTCCAGAAAGTATTTCTACCAGTGGGAATGACAAATTTGCAGTAGGCGCCTCTGCTGGAGGAAAATTGATATCTTGAGAGCAGTTGGCACAAGATGCCTGTGTAGATGATTCTTATATCCACATGCTTCTAATGAACATCACATTCCACCCACCCAGGAAAACAACAAAACTTTTGGGTACTTTTCCATTATCCGGGCAGAGGCCACAAGGGGGCACTAGAGAGAGAGAAAGATTTTAAAGAGGGTGGAGTTGAAGGAGAAAAAACCGCATTTTCACCGGTTATTTCCCTTCCCACTTCTCATGTCATAAACGAGGAATGTATCCATGATGGGGACATGGGTGGGGAAATTACAGGAAAACAGGAGGAAATGGTTTTCCTTCTTCAACCCATCCTCCACCCCCATAAAATGGACTATTCTTCTCTCTCTAGCGCCCCCTTGTGGCCTCCGCCAAGAAAATGGAACAATACCAGTTTGTGAAATATTTCAGTTGATTCAGACCTTTAGCCTAAATTCAGTTACAGTAAAGTCTTGCTTATCCAACATAAATGGACCGGCAGAACGTTGGATAAGCAAAAATGTTGGATAATAAGGAAGGATTAAGGAAAAGCCTATTGAATGTCAAATTATGTTATGATTTTTCAAATTAAGCACCAAAACATCATGATTTACAACAAATAGACAGAAAAAGCAGTTCAATACATGGTAGCATTATGTTGTAATTACCGTATTTACGAATTTAGCACCAAAACATTGTAATATATTGAAACAGCTGTGGATCCAGGCAGGAGGCAGACTATGCTGGATAATACAAAATGTTGGATGAGCAAAGGTTGGATAAGCGAGACTCTACTGTATTTCCATCTAGAGAACTTCCTTTGACTCAAAGGGTTTACACAAACGTTGACCTTATTAGGTTGTCATTATTTCTACAGGTCAATTCTGATTGGGACAAAGAATGGGACTCAGGCCCTTGTTGCTTCTCCTGAGCTCCCATCCTGCTGGAACCTACCCATGGTGTAGTTAATACTGATCTTCATATTGTTCTCCACTTTGAGACTACACCTCCAAATCCCCAGAGTTGGATTCTCTTGACAAAATGTGCTGTTTGGAAGGTGAGACTGACATCTGGTTTCATTCATATGGGCCCAGCACAATTCGGCCTTGGCAGGAAGAGGAGCAGAGATTTGACAGCACAAAAACATGTTTTCTTTATCAGCAGAGAGCCCAGGGGAACTATCAGAAACTGTGGAAAAATCAAAAAAGAGAGCGGGCTTAACATAACTTTAATAGAAAAAAACCCCTCTATAATGTATACACAAGAATATACTTTCCTAGAAGGGACAGACATGCATATAAGGTCATTTTTGGTTTTGGTAAACTATGGATGTGAGAGCTGGACCATAAGGAAAGCTGGGCAAAGGAAGATAGACACTTTTGAACTGTGGTGCTGGAGGAAAATTCTGAGAGTGCCTTGGACCGTGAGAAGATCCAACCAGTCCATACTGCTCACGGGAGAGAAGGATATTAGAGGCAAAGATGAAGTACTTTGGCCACATCATGAGAAGACAGGATATCTTGGAGAAGACAATGATGCTGGGAAAATGGAAAGAAAAAGGAAGAGGGGCTGACCAAGGCAAGATGGATGGATGGTATCCTTGAAGCGACTGGCTTGACTCTGAAGGAGCAGGGGTTGGTCACGGCCGACAGGGAGCTCTGGCATGGGCTGGTCCATGAGGTTACGAAGAGTCAGAAGCGACTGAACAAATAAACAACAGCCATGGCCCCTGACAAAATCACACTTCTGAAACTTTTATAATTAAGACACAGTGCATGAGAAGCCTGCTTTCTATATGAAGACTGTAAACAATATTCATGGTTGGGTTTGGTGACCACCAAAGTGCACTGGTCAAGTATACACCAAATTTACGTTCCCATATCTTGATTTCTTGGTTCTATAGTTGAATTATAAATAAGGAGCGACTTACTGGAGTGGCTGTGACACAGCAGACCCCTAGTGAGCCCTTCTTCTGGTAAATAAAAGAAATTGACTGAATAAAATTTGAGTACATTATTTCATTAGCAAAACAATTTAATCTGGCTGAATTTTTTGAAAAACTGAGGGAATATAGGAACAGTATTTCTGATTAGCAGAAATGAACCAAAAATCCTTGAGGAGATGAAGCTTATGTATAAAAATGGGTTAAAACTGAGAAGAAAATGAGACAAATTTTCAGAAAAAGTTAAGGAAAATTAAGGGATTGATCCTTTTCCTTATTGCTTTACGGGAAGATTGCTGTTTGGCGTACAGCCCTTTGTTGTAAGGATTACTGAGTGAATGTCTTCGTAAACATACAACAAACTAATGCCAAAGTTAGGATTTGGAAAACCAGACTGAGAATATAACATAAGAGATAGAAAAACATTTGGACAATCTGGCTTTATCTGAGCAAGGAGAAAAATGACATTGTTTGAAATGTAGATCAGTATTGGAATATTCTATGGAGAATATTCGAGAAGAAATTGCTGGTTTTCTGGTCTTTTTTTCTGGTAAGAGAGAGAACAGAGCCAGATGGAATTTGAAATGGATAGAATATATAGAATGAATTCATACATTTTCTCTCTTGCCTACCCAAATGCTGTCTCCATCCCCCAGATAACTCAGAGATCTTCAAGCATATTGAAGAGGGATGGCTAAAATATTATAGTACTGAAAGAGATTCTAATAAGAATATTATGAAAGAGAAAGGACTATACTGGTGGGATAGGCTGGAAGGAGCGGTGTTGACTTATACTAGGTCTGACATTGCTTTGGTTCCAAGATAAGATAGGTGTTGCAATCCAGAGCAGGGAACGAGGCCCTAAGATAACTATCCACCACACTTGGCTGTGAAAAACAATCCTTTTTTATTGAAGAAAAATGGTTACAAAATAAAGGGAAAATGCAAGTCAAAAGCCACAGCAAAATCAGCAAACATGAATTTAAATGGACAAAGCAAAACCAAAAGCCTCACTGGGAAATACTGGAATCTGTTAGCAATCCACTAACCGTACTTGATATCCTAGAAATCTTCCCAAACTATGGCCAGGGAACCGGGAGAACTGCCAAGGTCTTCATCAATTCTGAAACGATGCCTGAACTGAGACAGTCAGCCCGGCGTAAGGCAATTAAAACTCAAGAATTGGTTCCGTGAACCGCCCTTCTTTTTGAAGCCAATGTTTTTAATTCTTGAATTCGGGAGGATCAACGCAAACTGAGTGATTTACTTCTGTCTTCCCAAATTTGGCCCCTTCTGTTGTCATTACAGTTAACAGGTGCAGAAGGGAGGGAAAGTTCAAGGTCTCCCTCTGAAACATTCTCATGAACACTGGTACTTTCATTTTCCAAATCTACAGAAGTTCCTTCCTCACTAATTTCAGGAACATTGGCATTTTCCAAACCTACAGCAGTTTCTTCCTCACTAATTTCAGGAGCATTGGCATCAAAAGGTACATTTCCATTAGCATCAGTAAATATACTTTCATTAGCATCAGGAGGAACAAACAGAGAATCAGGTTCAAGTTCAAACTCAGGCTGAACCCCAACAATAGGAATGGAAGTTTATAGGATATTTACATCCTCTAGACCAGTCATTTTCAACCTGTGGGTCCCCAGATGCTGGTGGGATAGGCTGGAAGGAGTGGTGTTGACTTTCTAATAACAAAGACTTCAATTGAGTTCTGTGGGGAATGCAAAATGATTTTTGGAAAGATTTAAGGTAGTGGTTCTCAAGCTGTGGGTCCCCAGATGTTTTGGCCTTCAACTCCCAGAAATCCTAACAGCTGGTAAACTGGCTGGAAGTTCTGGGAGTTGTAGGCCAAAACACCTGGGGACCTACAGGTTGAGAACCACTGATTTAAGGCAAACTTGAAAGAGATGCAAAACATAGTCCATCCGTCCATCCTCCCCCCCCCCCCCAAATTTGGTGGGAACAAGGGAGAGGACCTTCTCAGTAGTTCCCAGGTTTTAGAACTCTCTCCCTGTCATTTATCATCATGTAAAAAACATTTCTCTGTGATGAGGGTTGGACTTTTAAAGACAACCTGATTGGGATTGGAAGATAGATATAAAGCTTAAATATATTTGGTTTTAATATAATAAATTGTTTAATTATTTTTTGAATTTTATATTTTTGTTTTAATGTATTCACAGTGTTATTGTTAGCATTGTATTGTATTTATGGTTTGCTGCCTTGAGTCCCTAATCTTAATAAATACAAAAGAAAGAAAAGTCAAGAAGGGATGAGGTGACTTCACATCAAGAATAAAAACAAGATCAGGCTCGGATACAGGAGGAATAGAAAGATTTAAAAAAATCTTACAATGCTACTGGTATGACCTCTGAATTGCTGGCATTATTGTGGATTAAAAATACATCACGTTGAATATAAGTTGAGCTAACATACTTCAAAAGATGGGAGAACCATTAGTTTAATAAATTCAAACAAGATCTAATTTCGTTGTGGAAAAAACACATGCAATACAAATTTTAAAAAAAGGCTATATGAGGAATTTAAAACACATCTGAAGACCTATCTCTCCCAGCAGGCCTAGCCAGTTTTAATCATGAATTTTAAGCTGGTGTTTTGTGTCCACTATATTTTAATCATTGTTCTGTGTATTTTAATATATGTATTTTGTAGAAATATCTTTTAATATGTGCATTTTATATAATGATTATGTGCTTTTAGCTCTGTTGTAACCTGCCTTGAGTCACAAGGAGAGGTGGGTAAGAAATAAAATAATAATAATTATTATTTTCAGCTGGATTGAAAAAGAAAAATAGTGTTGTTTTGTATATAAATCCACAGTTATGCCCAGGGTTGATTTTGATTAGGTATGTTGGTGTGCAGACTGACTGGGGATTTCTCCTCCAAATGAGGACAAGGCAATACTTTATTGAAGTAGGATTTCTGGAAATGGATGGCTTGCACTTCACAGAACATTTTTGCTATGGGAAATTTTTTTGATAAGGGTCTCAGAAACCTGATCAAAGGCTTAAAACTGAGTTATCTGGGCGAGAGAGATAGCATTTGGATAGGCAGGAGAGAATACCCCAACTCCTACAAAGATAACTGGGGAAAAAGTAAAAGAAGTTGACAAAGAGAAAGAAAAAAACCCTAAACAGATAAGGGATGTGGTTTATTTTCTTCGGGGTCTCTATACAAAGTATGGGAAATAAACAAGATGAACCTGAACTCTTAATAAAATAAAGCAAATGTTACATAATCGACGTCACAGAAACCTAGTGGGACAAGTTTTGTGATTGGAATGTAGTACGGTACTAGAAGGCATAACCTATTTCTGAAAATAGACCAAACAGGAAAGGAGGAGTAACAGCATTGTATATTAAGGATGTTTATATGCACAAGGAGGTTCATGGCATAAATCTTGGAAGCCAGATTGTGGGAGTCTACTAGAAACAAATATACATTCAAAATTTTATTTCTTTTGAAAATCTTTAATAAAAGTTATACATATGCACACATTCTTTCATTTATTCATTTTCATTATGACGAGTCTGTTCCCTTTCTAAAGACTGCACCTAAGCTCCATTATTATGTAGGTTTGTTTTTGGTTTGGCATGATGAATTTTAGTCATGGCCTTGCATGCTTCTTTGATAGCCACAGATATGCAGGTGGTTTAAAACTATTTCCAGTTAAATAAAGAATGAAGAGATAGTTTCAACAATAAAAATAGACATGTTGGTTTCTGGAACCTGCCAATTGTTTAAGCTCAATGGTCTTTTGAAATAGAAAAAAAATGGCAGCGCTTTTGCTCATGGATACATTTCTATGATGGGCACTACACACTTAGAATCCAGTGGCATACAGAAACTTCAACCAAAAGTTACTATATCATAATACAAAATGATCAAGATTTATTCTTACCGCTCATCACTATTAAATGGACAGACGTATTCAAATGCCCTTCTGCAAATATGAAACGACACTGGTATTTTCCAGCATCTTCCAGCCGAACGTTGGGTATCTCTTTGGCAGGATAAGTGGTGTTGACATTGCTTGATACGTCCTCCTTTACAATAATCTTATTATCCTTCATGAGTTCCCAACTCTGGAGTTTTGGAAAGTTCCTCACGCTCTTTTCCTTTGAGAGGTCAATGTTCAACGGGCATGAAAGGACCACTCTGCTATCAATAGCTGCAAACGTCATGTCATTGAGAAAACCTGGTTTTATGGTAGAAAACACAGAAAGAAAGGACTATTTTTTATTTTATTTGCCATCTTACCAAGTTCAAAATGGAAGGACTTTGTAAAAAAAAAAACACCTTTTCTCAGAAGGGCCAATATTTATTTAAGCCCAATAGATTTCAAACAACAGCATTCCTTTCCTCACAAATGGTTGGCAAGCTGCAAGAACATTGATTGGCTTTCTCAGTACTGAATCACTTCCACCATTTGTATCTCAGGGAGCTTCCAGACAGCACCAAATTGCAGGTTTTAGTCAGGGGCAAAAAACCCAGGACCTGAGAGCAGGTCCACATACAGACCTGTTGGTCCCAGGATTTCTGCCTCCATTGTCCACACTTGCTGCTTTATTGCAGGATTTTGCAGTCCCCAAGATGGCCGCCGTGGGACATCAGATGAAAAGTTCAGGGTTTTTTACAAACAAATCTTAAGATATGAATATGCAAATCGTTGTATAAGTTCCATTCCGGGGTTATAGAGGCAGACAAGTTTGGCCATGTACTTGTGCCTGGGAACTACAGGGTGCTGTTCCTGATATATATGTCTGTTCCTGATTGCTTTTATAAAAATACGTGGAAAATTTGGTTACATGGCAAAACTTTTGTTTGTGTGTCATAAACTTCATTAAACATGTGGAGGACAAAGTTTCTTATGCTAGGATAAAGTTTTCACCCTCTTGTCAGATGTTGCTGATGTGGAGATATTGGAAATATAAATATTTATACATATATTGTATATACATTTGAAGCACTGAAATATAGAAAAACCAGGTTCTCTCTGTATTAGAAAGCCAAGCTGACAGGACAGAAAGAATGCTGAAGGAGATCTGGGTTGAAAGGAGGAGGAGAAGGGGTCCATGTTATTTATACACTCCAGAGATGAGTACAGCTTAGCACAGGCCATACCTTCTTACTTCTAAAAGTAAGGAGTTTCTCTCCCTCCTCCCTGACAGGTCAAAAGTAGGCCCCTGATGGATCTATGTAAGCTGAATCCTAGTTATCTCTATTGCTGTAAGCTGCTTTTGAAAAAATATAGAGACATGCTCCTTGAATGTAGGAAGAAATAATTTGCTATTTCTATGATGCTAAAGTGACGTAGTGATGATGTTACGTAGGTAGAAGCATGATTCTTTGTTTGCTTGCATTTGAAGATGCATAAAAGGGAAAGTCAATGCCTTTATCCTCACTCTGGTTTGCTTTTGGACGCAATTCCACGCCAGGGTCTCAGCTGAAAATAAAACTGTACCTTTTCTGCCTCACACAAAGGATCGCTCTTGGTATTATCTCTCCTATCAGCCATAACATTGCCATGTTTTTAGGGAACAACCAATCAGGAACCGACATGTATAACCCAGAAAGAAACCAACATAAAAATTCCATATTTTCTGAGAGTAGGGACATACAAAGATTCAAATATATGCATTTCCAACCAGAAATGAGATATTCTGAAAACCTGAATATCTTGCGTTTTTTGCTATGTGTAGTGATTGCTTTTGCTTTTTCAGGGAACGGCATTTGGCCACCCTCCATTTTGATGCGGGAGCTCCTGGGATAAAGGAACTGTCTGGATGAGCCCTCAGACATCATCTCAGGCTACACTCTAATGATGAAACCGATTGCAGACTAAACCCACAAGTGGGAAAAAATTGCACAGGAACCATGAAGAGTTGCAAAAGTATTGTACCCGCCTGCCCAGGTAAATTAAATTCTGCCAGTAGGTTTGATTGAAAACACCTTGATGCATCATAGATATGCAAACACTTAGCACAGATGCAATGATTTGGCAGCAACATTGCTTGGATTTTGAGCAAAACTAGAAGTTCCAGATAGAAGAGCTTGTGTTTTAGATCCTTGGCATTTATGCAAACTTTAAAATATATTTTACCTTTCCTGTTATAATTTGGTAAAGCTCAGTAATGTTGACTGAACGCATCATTCTTGATGATACTTAGTTTTACGCAAAGAAGCATTGCAAGATCTGGTGTGTTACAGACTTTTGAAACCAAGATTCACAAGTTTCTTTTACCTATCACCTTGACCCCAAAGGAGAACAAGGGCCCATCAGGCAGGATGTGACATTTCCACGTGCCATCATCTTCTTGAACGTCAAGGTTCTTTATCTGCAGCTTCCTCTCATAGTTGTCCAGCTTCCAACGTGGTTCATTGCCTGTCACTCTGGAGTTGCGTGGGCTAAACCACTTGATCCTGGTTGTAGGATACTCATTGCCAAACGAATTCACTTCTAGTTGTATAGTTTCACCTTGCAGGAGATATCTGTTTTGAATTCCTTTCGCTAGTATAAAAAAATAGATTATGAGCTCTTTTTACTCCAGGTTCTCCTGCCTTCTTCCCAAGGAACTGCTGGGAAGGTGAAAGAAGGAGCACCACTTCAAATTTCCCTTTTCCTCTGTCTCTAATATCCCAGTATCACACTCACCAGTCCACACCTGAAGGTCATGGATACACTGTACTTTGTCGTTCACCACACAGGTGTATTGCCCTTCCTTTCCATTTCGTAGCCATAAAGAAAAATTCTTGTGGTCAGAAGCCACAAATTTGTATTGTGCAGTGTGGTCATCTTTGGAAAGAGAGAAAATACAAACAGTTAAATGTTCTTAAATAAAAGCAAAGGTTTATTTTCCTGCAGTGGATATATGAGGAGTGGAGTCTTACCTTTAAATTCCTTATTCTGGAAGTATTTAATTATGCGTTTTCCATTATATTTCCAGACCACTTCGACTGGAGTGGGGCCATTTGGTTTTTCACAACCGTCTGGACAACGGAGGACAACATCTTGGCCATCAGCAATATTTATCTTTGATGCCATTGTAAAAGGAAGCATTACCCCTGAAAGATAAAGGGCCTAAACAATAAAAAAATCTGAACAAGTTGAATATTTCTCAATGTAAACTGAAACCGGTTCCTGTAACTTTAATAATTGTGCAGAGTGGGAAATTTCACACCTGTTACGAAGCTTCTTAGGTCTAAAGCTCACATAGGTAACCACAACACTACATCCTTTTTCCGCTTTATGCTGCTCTCATTTTCTTGTATTTATGTTGTAGTTGTTTTTCAAAGTGTATTTTTTTAGTATATCAGCTTTTTGGCACTGGACGATATGTAAGTTTTGAGTTAATAACAGCTCTTAGTAGAAACATGGAGTGTTGTACATCTATTCTAGATACTTCTTGTGCCAATGGAAGGAATAATGGCAGCAGCTATAACAGATAGAATCATCGAATCATAGAGTTAGAAGAGACCTCGAGGGCCATCCAGTCCAACCCCCTGCCAAGAAGCAGGAAAATTGTATTCAAAGCACCCCCGACAGATGGCCATCTGGGAGGAGTATATCTGGGAGGAATTTGTCATTTGAGTTGGGCTTCCTTTATGTCTGCTCCTGGAAGCCTTGCCGGAAATTGAGCTTACTGAACATTTTCTGGAAGCCTTGCTACTCAACACAAAGCTCCTGACTGACGACAGGTTCATTTCATGTTTCTACATCCAAGGAACATTGGAGGATTTATTTCTTTGGACTCTATGTGAGTGTAATACACAAAAGGAATTGTGACTGTACTGTTGATTATGTTTTAAAGTCACTGCTCTGAATACTCAAGAGTAAATTTCTGTTTTTTGCATTCTTGCGTTGCTCATTTTTGAACTAGCAAACTGGGCATTGTGTTACTGGGTTACACACACTGAACAATCCACAATAAAGGTGACATGGAGCTATAGACAGAAAACAGACACACCATATGAATACCCCTAGGAAAACTTCTGCTGTCCTGGTGTTCCCAGCCACAACAAAACAGAACCCCTTCCTGTGGCTGTATTATACTTTATTATACTGTATTATACTTTATTTATTTATTTATTTATTTAGAACATTTATATTCCACCCTTCTCACCCGGCAGGGGACTCAGGGCGGAGCACAACATATATACACAGAGGCGGCCCTAGGTAATTTTCAACAGTAAGCAAACAGTATTCCCCCCCCCCCCCCCAATAATTGATATATATTTTCTGTTTGTCATGGGAGTTCTGTGTGCCATATTTGGTTCAATTCCATCATTGGTGGAGTTCAGAATGCTCTTTGATTTTAGGTGAACTATGCATCCCAGTAACTACAACTTGCATATGTCAATGTCTATTTTCCCCCAAGAGCGACTCAAGAGCGCCCCTGGGCAAAATCAAGTATACTGCGAATGCTTACTTTGCGTAATGGGTTGAGCCGCCCCTGTATATATGGCAAACATTCAATGGCGGGACATAAAACCATAAATATATACAAACATTAAAATCACTTATATTCACATTAAAGTTGCTTAAAAACCATCTCAGGACCATTTTGCCTCACTGCACTGCCCCAAAGGCTTGGTCAAACAGCCAGGTCTTCACCATCCTTTTGGTGGACAGGAGGGAGGGGGCTAATCTAATATTGCTAGGAAGGGAGTTCCATAACCAGGGGGCAATCACTGAGAAGGCCCTGTCTCTCATCCCCATCAAACATGCCTGTGATGGTGGCGGGACCGAGAGCAGGACCTCCCCAGAAGTTCTTAGTTTCCGCAGTGGTTTGTAAAGGGAGATGCGTTCAGACAGGTAACTGGGCCGGGCCGTTTATTATACTGTACTTAATATTATATACATAATAATTTATATTATATATAAATATATATTAATTTATATTAATAATCATCTGACATGATGATGATGATAATGATGATACGTATCCTTTAAAAAACTTACCCGTGAGAAGGAGGAAGGAAATAAGTTTGCAGTTCCAGGCCATCTCCATTGGAATTCACCTTCCCCTGTAAATATGGATGGCTGGCGTTTCTGTACAAGAGATCCTACCAGGGGGTAACCAATGGTTTATTTTCTTGTGTGACATGACAGGGTAAAAACAGACAAGAATATATGCTGTGACAATTTCTCCTCGTGTGCAAATTCACCATTTGGTTAGTGGATTCTCTCCATCAACTAGTTAACAAGTTGCTGCCAAGAATCAATCTTCTTAATCTGTCTTCCCCAATAATAACTAGCGGGCAGAATGGCTTTCTCCACCTCTGTTTTCCCAACTCTGGCTCTTGCCAGTAGCAGCCAACCAAATGGGGAGAAGGGAGAACCAGGGAGTCAAATGGTATATGTTTTGTGGTGTACTATAACAATCAATGAATAACTGTATTCATTGGTGGTTACAGGCAGGGCTCTTCATCCTCCTTGCACTCTGTGCACCATGCTGGAAGAAGCAAAGACCACCAGCATTGAAGCGATGCTCCTCCATCATCAACTCTGCTGGATTGGCCATGTTATCCAAATGCCTGACCAGTAACTATACTCCCAACTCAAGAATGGGAAACGTAATGTTGGTGGACAGGAAAAGAGATTTAAAAATGGGCTTAAAGCCCATGTTAAAAACTGTGGCATAATAGACACCGAGAACTGGGAAGCTCTGGCCCTTGAATGTTCTAACTGGAGGTCAGCTGTGACCAGCAATGCTGCAGAATTCGAAGAGGCACGAATGGAGGGTGAAAGGGAGAAACGTGCCAAGAGGAAGGCATGTCAAGCCAACCCTGACCAGTACTGCCTTCCACTTGGAGACCAATGTCCTCATTGCAGGAGAGCATGCAAATCAAGAATAGGGCTCCACAGCTACCTACGAACCCACCGCCTAAGTAAATCTTTTGAAAGAAACAAAAATATTCCACAATAATTTCTACAAACTGTGCAATGCTGCCAGTTGCGAGGACATTTTGTGAACTGGGTTGTTGTAGGTTTTTTCAGGCAAAAATGCCTCTAGAACATGGCCATATAGCCCGAAAAAACCTACAACAACCCAGTGATTCCAGCTATGAAAGCCTTCGACAATACATTTTGTAAACTATCACAAGGTGATCTCCACCCTGGCCCTTTTTAGGCTCCTTTGAAAAAGACAAATAAACTAAAATGTCCTTTGACAGATTGGAAATAAAATATAGACCCAATGATTGTGTCTCACTTTTCACCCCAGTTGATGGAAACATTGCTTATAAAAATACTAATAAAGAATAAGAAAAATAGTTATATGGACTTACCTGAGCTTAAGCTCCAGTTAACATAATGCCAATTAATGCTAAACAGAAAAGTATTTGCAAACTCAGTGCAGTAGAGATCACAGGGAAGCAGCCATGGAGGAAACCAGGCACTGGACAAATAGACTGCTCAGAGCCCAATGACTTTGGACCCCATCACATTGAGATCCTGAAGCTAGGGAACAGTGGGGGCATTCATTGGACAGCGCAGCAAATCTAGCAGGCAGTGTGGAAACCTGTTGCCCCTCGCCCCGTATTACCCTCCTCCCATCCCATGCAGTGGAAGCGTTGCCAGGTGGGAAGCCAGCACGTTCCCCGTTCAACCTTATGAGCCAGGCTCTGTCCTGGCTCCATGTTAAAGCATCCTACAATGGAACCCAGACCTCATGTGATGAGGTTGTTTGTTTACGTTCCTTTGCTATACTAAGTGACTTAGGGAGCTCATCACACTAGAGAATGAATCCACTTTAAATCCGTTTGCTGCCTCCTACAGAATTCTGGGGTTTGTGGTTTAGGGAGGAGCCTTTAACAGCCTCACTAAACTACAAACCCCAGAATTCTGCAGGAGGCAGAAACCGGATTTTAAGTGGATTCATTCTCTAGTGTGATGAAGTAGAAGGAAAAGTGAACATACCAGCAAAGCTCATCAGTAGTATTCTTGCCACATATTAATTTGACAATTAAAAATACATTTGTAAACTACATGAAACATGGTGGGACTGACATTCAAAGGGTATTAGGTGCTTCCAGATGACTTAGAAAATCCCTTAGAGAGTATGGATTTTTTTGGAGAGAGATTAAATGTGTTTGTAGAGTTGGCTGGCTCGAAGATAAATAAGCAAAAACAAGGGTGTTAACAAAAAAAATGAGAAGAGAGAATCAAATAAAATTGATAGAGATGTCACACTTTAAGACTGAAGAAAAGGAAAAAAATATTTGGGTATCTCTATGATAAATATGAATTGCATGCTATTGAAAAATACTTGTATTAAGATGGGGAAAGATGTTAAGATGGTCTGTAAAAATAGTTGAAGCTTAAACTATCATCTCTGGGGAGAATATCTGTGACAAAAATGAATGACTTGTTGAGAATGCTATTCTTGTTCCCAGAAGAACCAATTTGGTTTAATAACAAGTCTGACTTGGCCACCGTGGTCCACACTCTTGTTACATCCTGTATAGGCTACTGCAACACATGCTATGTAGGGTTGCCTTTGAAGACTGTTTGGAAGCTTCAAATGGTTCAATGGGCAGCAGCCAGGTTACTAACGGGAGTGGCACTTAGGAAACACACTACTCCTCTGTTGCGTCAGCTCTACTGGCTGCCAATTTGCTACCGGGCACAATTCAAAGTGCTGACTTTAGCCTATAAAGCCCTAAATGGTTCTGGCCCAGCTTACCTGTCCGAACGTATCTCCTCCTATCAACCATCTAGGAGCTTAAGATCGTCTAGGGAGGCCCTGCTCTCAATCCCGTCTGCCTTGCAAGCGCAATTGGTGGGGACGGGGGACAGGGCCTTCGTAGTGGGGGCCCCCTGGCTATGGAACTCCCTCCCTATGGATATTAAATCATTCCCCTCCCTCCTGACTTTCCAAAAAAAGGTAAAAACTTGGCTCTTTGAGCAAGCTTTTGAGAATGCAGCAGAATAGATAACATGGAACTATGAATGATGAACTTGGAATTAAGCTAACGACTCTGCCTTTTATCAGAAAATAGCACATGGATACTATTCGTAGACCAAAATGATAATTTCAATTAAATTATGTTAAAA